TTGCTTGTGAAATTCTCTTAAAAATCCACTGCATTCATGAAGGGAGGGTAGAAATCAATTAGGCAGTTGATTGCTATAGGTAGTGTGTGGAAAGAAAGGGAATAAAAGAAATCCCCACAACTATTATGTGGGGGGGAGAGCAAGATTGGGAGTCAAAGGTTGCTGAAACACAAAGACAGATTAATGTATGGAATTTCTCCCTAGCTCTTGCAGCTACCAAATACTTGGGGGGGGGGGGCTGTGAAAATGAAAGCTTTAAACCCACTGAAGAATCAAGGCCCAAACTTTAAGGACTTTGCAAAATACAAATAAGCTCAAAAGTTTTTTTCTAAGAAGTGCAGGATCAGGATCTTACCAGGCCATAGAATAGGAATGTGTGGCAAAGGTGGAGATATAGAACAAAGAGAGCTCTGTAGAATAGACAACCAAAGACTAAAATAAGTCTAGTGTCTGATTCTGACTTCACATTCAATAGAGATTGGTCTAACTATAGATTTATAACCATTTTACATTGCCATGAATGGCCATTAAGGCCTCATAGGTTCAAATCACTTTCTGTAGACACTACACTAGGAAAAAGTTACCTTTTGCATGTATGGACATCTATATTTAGAGTAAATACAATTTTAAAAGACATTTTAATCAATCTTTCTATTTAATCTGTCATATATATTGCCCTTAAAGAATTAAACATTTTTGTGAATTAGATCTTCTAACATTAGAGAGGAAGTAGCCAGAAGGAAAGATATAAACTGGATTTCATCTTCCAAAAAGTGTAATTAAAAAAAAATCTCTTAGGTTGCTTCTTGAAAGAATACCCAATATAGGTCAAGACGTATCCATAGATAAAAACTTGGCAATCATTAGACTCTTTTGTTTTATGCCTTTCAGTGGTGTATCTCCTCACCCATAGACAAGTAAAGTGCTGAGGAACTAAAAAAAAATGTGTATGCTTTAGTCAAGTGCACAATGCCTGATATTTATACATTTTTTTCAGGATAGTTTGCAAAAATGTGCACATACAAGGAAGAAACAGGAACATGTTTATTACATGATAAGAAACCTAGAACTGAAAAGTCGATGTGTTCATTCTAAGTTTTACTGACAACAGAATTGCTTTGCATCCATTGAGAACAGAACTTTTGGCATAAATTCCAGTAAAAGAACAAACTAGTTAGCAAATGGGTAAGTTTCAGGCCAAACGTAAGTTCTTCTTCCTTGTATATTGCACACTCGCTCAGACCTTACATAGTAATGTGATGTCTGTCGCCCCTCAAAACAATTAAAAACAAGTCTCAGTCTCATTTGCGGGGAGAGTTATTTGCAATCCCTCCCCCTATCTCCTGATTAGCATAGGTATATCATTCAGTCATGTTTTATACCTAGATAAAATGCTCACCTTCACAAACATTCACACATAAGGAGTGGGGAAACCTTGAAACATAGCTGCAGCTACCAACCAAGCCTATACTATGCTTGAACACCATCATTATACAACTTAGCAAACACCTGCAATACACAGATATTCATTTCTACTGCCTACCAATCACTTTCATACACAAGCATTCATATAAGAAAGAAGGGAATGGGGGGATTCTGCCAACATATTAAGGATCACTCCAATGAAAACACTGGCTGCAATCCTAAAACAACCTTCCTGGGAACAGTAATAGATTTGCTTAGGATTGCTCCCATTTTGGCTCAATTTTTTCAAAGACTAGAATTTGATCACTATGTCATCATGAGTTTGGTAGTGTTCAACTGCAGGACAGCTGAGGGCTAAAGTTCTCTTTCTAACCCCCCCCCCCGCCAATCTAAAAATTACAATTTAATGCCATTAAAATACTAATTAAGAGCCCAAAACTGTAAAATTCAAGCTTTTTTGTATAGTTAGGCTTTAAAAAGTTTCTTATTAAGGATTAATACAATGAAAGACACATATCAAAGACCCTAACTATACCATACTTTTTAAATCCAACATAACGGCAGGCCAAACTTTTTGTACATTTAGAGCAAAACTTTATTATGAGAGACTAGATTTTAAACATTTCATCACCATTTTAATCAACTACTTTAAAAACAGATCTTTTCCCACTCAAATCCCCTATTATCCTCTGATGAAACACAATGCATATAAATGCTTTATGCTATTTGAATGTGTATGCAAGCCAGCCAGAAAGCCTACAGCAGCTATTCCCAAAGTGACCCAGACAGTGAATTGCCTTTGTATAGTGTTAATAGCCCAGTCCCATCCTGTTTTATTCAAAAGCAAATCCTACAGAGAATTTCAACAGGACTTCCTCTCAAGTTAGTATGCCCATTCTTACTGGGGACCAAATTGTGCCAACCTCTCCTTAAGCTGAACAACCATTTTTAAGGTCAGTTCACTATACTGGGAGCTATATATTTTTTTTTAAAGGATGGAATAATGCTGGTCATATGGTATCACAAATAAATTTACATTTCTATCCTCCAGTCTATTAAATACTACAATCCACATTTCCCAAGGCATACAACTGATGTATGAAGGCTTAAAGACACTAAACAAAAATATCAAGAGTCCAGTAGCACCTGAAAGACTAACAAAATATGTGGCAGGTTCTATTTTGTTAAGTCTTTAAGGTGCTCCTGGACTCTTGCTCTTATCTACTGCTACAGACAAACATGGCTACCCATCTTGCAAAAAAAATGGTATTAAAAAAACACACCCTGTAGCAGGAGCCCACGGCACAGATGGGGGGGGGGGTCTTAGGGAGGAAAAAGGCACTGGAGCATGGCTCATTTGCAAAGCAACCCCCTGCTGCTCTGGGGCTGATGTAGCTGTGGAATGGATTCCTCCTTCCTTCCCCCTCCAGCGCTGGCTGCCTGATACTGGTCCTGCCCAGGCCATAAAAAGGAGAGGAAAGCACTGTGCTCAAGAGATGACTGCCAAGATGTGGCCCGCAGGTTCAATAAAACTGCATTCAATTTCAAACAAATGCGCAGGAAACAAAGCAACAAAGCAAATTGCCTGAAACCACACACACACACACACACAGAGGCAACCTCTCTTTATAGTAACTAAGAGTGAGGCTCCTGGATGAAATGGATCTGGAAAATGTGTGTGTGTGGGGGGGGGGAGGCGAAGAGGACAGAGCTGGCTGCCTGACAAATGAGAAAAGCCACCAGGTACCTCCCTCCGCCCAGTCCCACTGAATGGAAGGCGGGAGGAAGCGTTGGGGGGCGAGATGCTCGTGCTGCTATCTCCCTCCCCTCCCCCACAGAGACGCGCGCGCACACCCACACCCGCCTTTACGCGCGCGCTGGTCCGTCTCTGGAAAGGGCACGAAAGGGGGAAAGAGCCTTCGCAATGTGCTCAGGCGGCGGCGGGCGCTTAGAGGGTGTATGTGGCGAAGAGGAGCCGAGAACCAGCGGCGCGCTTTGTCGCGTCCCCAACGAAAAGAAACACAGACACACACCCTTTCCAACCCCCGCAATGCACACTGAATAGCGTGGGGACTGCCTCAGACCCTCCCCCCCTTCTCCTGTTCGCTATCTCGGCTCCTCCCCTCTAACCGCGCGCTCCTGAGGCGGCCACGGGCCAGAAGCTGCGGCGGCAGCCCGAGCGAACTCCGCGCCCGCCACACATGGTCAAGACACACCCCCTTCGTACAGGCTAACCCTGCTGGCGAGCGGAGGCTGCCAGCCCGCCTTCTTTTTCCGCCGCAAAGGAGAGCGCTACAATCTCTCCACATAGAAGGGGGAGGGGAGACGCCCCTTCCCCAGAGACAGAAATAAAACTTCCCCCACCCACCCAGAGAAGGCCGGGGGGAGGCAGAAGAAAGCCAGTCAAAGGACCAACCCTGGCAGGACTTCCTAGAGAAGCGCCTCGCCTCAGCCACACGCCAGCCCGCTCTCTCTCACACACACACACACACACACAAAGGAGGCCTGAAGGTGACACCCCCTCCATCATGGCAGACCTAGATTCAGCTCCCCCAGCCCTGGCCAAGGCTGCCAGAGCCCCCTCATCGTTGCCCAAATGCCCTCCCCCCTTCCAAGCGCAGCAACAGCATCCTTCCTCGCTCGCCTACCTGCCCTTGACAGAAGCGTTGGCGCCACCCTGAACACAGCCCTCTCACGCCTTGCCACGCCATTCTTCCCCCTCCCAATAGCCCTTCGCAGGGTTAGACTTCCCGCATCCCTCCATTTCCAAGTAACCAGACCCAAGCGGGAGAGGGAGACCATATTGGAAGGCGAGGTAGAAAGGCAAAAGGTCCAAAGGAAGAGACTATCCCCACCTTCCATCTCCTCACCCGTTATTAACAGATCCAAGACTCAGCTGAAACTCCTCCATGGGTGAGGAGAGAGGGTTTGGATACACGGCATCTTTCTACCAGCGTTACTTCTAGAGACACTAATTGCAAATCGAGTTTCTATCAGTTCCAGCTGATTTATTAAAATTGTCAAGATACAGACTTTCAGCATTTAAAAAAAACAACAGGCAATGGTGTTGACAGTGCACAAGTCTGCTTTTTTGCCATCATTTGCTACAAAATATGCAGATGGTCTGTACTTTTAAGGATCATATTGCACAAAATGATAAACTTTTTTTCCTTTTTCAATGTGCCTTTCTTTCCCCCCATTTCATTATTTTTTTTTTGCTAAAAAGAGTCAAGAATCCAGTTTCATACCTTCCATCTGGGCCCCATCCACATATCACAGCATATGAGATACATAAATTCCTACTATAGTACAGTACATATACAATCTTTTAAACTAAGATAACAGCTCTGAGGTCTATATCACCATTTCCAATAAATCTTTACCTACAAATATTGAACAAATCTGAACTATAGCTGTACAAAAAGGTGTTTGTTTCTTTCTTTTTTAAACCACAAGGCCTTTAGATGCAAGGATTTTTTTAATCCTTTTAAAACCAGGACATAAACGTACCCATATAACTTGCATGCTAAAAACAGAAGGAAAAAATAAAAAAAATAAAAGGGAAGAAGTGCCTGAAAAGTCTTACTGAAAAAAACACAGCAAGAATGTTCCCTTTCACTGTACAAAAATACGCCTGAAAATATATTAATTTTTAAAAAAGACTGAGGTCTGTTATGTATCAAAAATGTTTCAATACCTTTGTGTACTGAGGTCTAGGCTGTCTGGTATTCAATCAAGGAGGTATAAGGGAACAAGTTACAAAAAAAAAGTTGGCAAGTAGAAATCACATTTGTAAAACCATAAACAATTTGATCTGAAAAGTAAACTCTGATCTTAAGTCAGTTCACAGTTTTTGTTTTTTGTAAGCGTTTGTACAGTCTGCATTTTTTTTTCAAGCTCCCTGCAGCTTTGTTAAGAATTGGATGCATAGAAGACATCAGTTTTCTCCCTCCAAACAAACAAAAAAGTTGCAATGGTCCCTTTAATAACGTCCAAAAAAAATCAGAACTGTCCTTTAAAATCTCTGTCGGAGAAACAAAAATCCACGAACCCCCTTGAGTAACAGTTGTGCTGCCAAAAGACTTTTGTTTTTTGCAGACCATCTTCCAGACTTCAATCACAAGACCGACAAGCTTCAAACAGCGCTTTCTGCATCTTTGAATACCCAGTCCGATTTGCCTTTACTCCTTGCTGCTCTTGTTGTGATCACCAGTTTAAAAACAAAAAGGGGGGGGGATCAGAAGGGGAAAAGAATCACAACTCCAGACTCGGTTTGGAACTAACTTCGGCTTTTTGAAAAAAAAGGGGGGGGGGGGAAAGAAAAGAAAACCCAAGACATTTGACTTCACTTCAAAACTCCACCACTTTTAAGCGTATACCACTAGCATCATCTTTCCTTTACCGGTTTGTTCTTCTTGTTTTTTTCAGTCCTTTTGATCTCTCTCTCTCTCTCGCCCCGCTTGTTCGCCTGCCCGCGGCTTGTTCCCCCTTCTGCCGGCTCTCGCCTCTCCCTCTCAGTAAGTGAAGACCAAGTCGGAAAAGTTCGCCTCCAGCCAGTCGCCCGCGATCATCTCGCTCAGCTCCGGGGTGCAGTAATCGGGGAACTCGAAGTGAGAGCCCAAGCTGCCCTCGCTGAACGAATCCAAATCCTTATCCACCAGAGAGAGGGACAGGTTCCCCGCGGCCGAGCTGACGCCCAGCTCCGAGGTGGCGTGGGTGTGCTGCGAGAAATTCAAGCTCAGATCGAACATCAGGTCGTCCGCTTCTTCGCCGCCGCTGCTGCTGCTGCTGCTGGAAGAAGAGGAGGTGGAGATGGACCGGGAGGAAGCCGGGGACAGGCTGGCCTGCTGGCCGCTCTTGGGCATGCTCTTGAAGCCGTAGTAGAGCCGGGGGCCGCCGGCCGCGTGCGAGACGGCGCCGCCCCTCACCTCCTCGTACAGGCTGGCCCCTTCGGTGGACTCGGCCGAGGAGCTCAAGGTGGGGCTGGCCGGGACTTTGGCGACGTTGTAGCGCCGCAGCGGCTGGCCCTGCGGGTGGGGGTGCTCCTCCTCGTCGTCCTCCTCCTCCTCCTCGTGCTTGATGCGGAGCTGCAGCTCGTCGTCGTCCTCCTCCTCCTCCTCGTCCTCGTCCAGGAAGACGCACTTGACCGCCTTGCTGCTCACTTTCAGCGGCCCGAAGGGGGGGTAGTCCTCGCCGCCGTAGTCGCCCGGGTGGGGGGCCAGCTTGGTCCCGGCCTTGGGGGAAGTGGCCGAGGAGGACGAGGTGGACGACGACGACTTCCCTTTGGTGCACTTCTTGCTGGCGCTTTTGGCGCTCTTGCTGCCGCCGGTGCTGCTGGTGGGTGTGTTTTTCTCCGGGCTGTGGTTGGCACTGGGCTTGGCCGAGGGATCTATTTTGGGCTTTTTCCTCGGTCGGTATTTGTAATCGGGGTAATCGGCCATGTGTTTGAGGCGCAGCCGCTCCGCCTCCCGGATGAACGGGATCTTCTCGCTGTCCTTCAGCATTTTCCACCGCTTGCCCAGGCGCTTGGAGATCTCCGCGTTGTGCATGTCCGGCGACTGCTCCATGATTTTTCTCCGCTCGATCTTCGACCACACCATGAAGGCGTTCATCGGTCTCTTGATGTGGCCCGAGGCCGTTTTGCACCAGTCCGGATCGCTCTCGTCCAGCGCCACCGGGCTGCAAGCCATGAACTCCCCCTCTTCGGTGTCCATCGCTTCCCTGGGCAGGTTGCTCTCCGTCTCCGGACTTTCCGCTTGCTGGACCATGGTGGGGGTTGACTGCTTCGCTTGAGTTTCTTGGTAGCCTTTTTTCTTTTCTTTTTCTCCTTTGCTCCCACCGGCTGTTTGCACACCTTGGCTGGCTCGGCGAGCGGTTGCAAGGTGAATCCCGGTGTGCAAGTTGCAAGCGCCTTTCGTTTCTCCCTCCTGCTCGCGCGCTGCTGGTGGCTGTTCCAGCAGCGGCAGCAGGACTCGCTCCGGCTCTTTCCCCTCCCCCTGCAGCAGCAGCAGCAGCAGCCGCCCGGACCCAGAGATGTCGCTGGATCACACTCCCCCTTCTGCAAAAGTTGCGGGTCCTCTCCCAACTAGTTATCAGGGTTTCATATGGATGACATCACTCCTCCGGCCGGCCAATGGCGAGGCTCGAACTCCTCCCCTTGGCTCCGCCTCGCTTGCCTTTATTAAGTTCCCCTCACATGGATGCGTACACACCCCCTTCGTCGCGGCTCTTGGAAATGAGGAGGGGGAGAGGGGAAGTGGGCTGGGGAGAGGGGGCTGGGCTGGGCTGAGCGTGGAGTTTGCGGTCCCTGTTCGGGAGACAAGCGGGCAGGGAGCTCGAAAACGGAGAGCTATTAATGATTTCACCCGCGCCTTCTTGGACATCCTTTATAATGTCAAAAAGAGAAAAAAAAATCTGTGAAAGAGTGGAGGTGAATCTGGTGAGATTATTCCCCCATCGCCTGGTGTCACACTGGGTGAGCTCATACTTGGAGGAATAGAATCGCGTCCTGAGGGCATCGGGGCTGTTTGCATCCGGCTGCTGTAGGTGGCGCTTTAGCACCGCCGGCTTAGGGAAACGAGGCTTCGTTTTGTTTCATGACATTTCATTTTTTGGTGAAACAGAAATGATTATATACATCCTTCGGTTTGCATATTGTTTGATTTCCTTCCTCCCTTTAGCGCTCTCTGTCCCCCGCTCCCCTCCTTGGACCTCCCATTTTACCAGAAAACCCTCATGCTAACTATATTGTGTTCCTTCCTGCGGGCTCTTCAACAACCAATAGCAGATCTAGTGTCTGTGCCTTTCCTAGGTTAGTATCAGTGTGGTACCCATTTGAAAGCTGCACAGTGGGAATTTATGACTCCAAAGAAACTACAGACACTTGTGTTGGGGGGGGGGAGAACGTTTAGACTTTCTTTCATACATTGTTTGCTTTTATTAGGCAAGCTAATTGCCACAAACTGTAGCAGCTATTTGTTTCTCTGTGTGTGAAGGCAGTCAAATAGTAAAAATTTACACTTTATGAGAAGTGCATATATTTTGTATTTTAATGCCTTCTTCTGCTAATTCCTCCCCCCTTCATTTAAAAAAAATCATACCAAGCTGAAGTGCTGTGTAATTAGATTTTAAAATCTTCCTTTTAGCAAATGTGAACTATGGTGACAGCATTTACAAAGAACACTTTCCTGATGTCTATATGGGTATTTGGATAAGACTTGCAGTGCTAACAAAAACATACTTATAAAAGGGTAGACCATACCAATGGCTTTGTCAGCGCAACCATACAAGCTATAATACTGTCATGCAGAGTTAATGAAGGCTGTTTCTTCATGGGACAGTTAAATCAGTATTTACCATCCAATTCAAATGCACAATGTACATTAGCTATAATATACATTGAGATTTACACTTCTCTGTGTGAGCAATGTCCCCACAAGTCCACAAATAGCTCAAGACATACTCAAAGATGTAGTAACAATTTCACTTTTGAAAATTAAGACATGTGATCTGATCTTAAGAACTTTCTGCACTATGTGTTTTAAACTGCAGTCCTAAATAGGTTTACACGGGCCCTGGTCACACAGGAGGTTTAGGGCCGGAAGAGGGACGGATCGGGGGTGCAGCAAACAGGCACAATCCCACCGCAACATCTGGGAAACGGCATGCACCCGTCTCCGATTGGCCCTTCAGGCCAAAAATGTGCATACAAAAAACCTGCCAAAGAGCAGTACTTACTGTCCCCCCCCCTGTGTGGCAGGGACAACAGAATCCTACTCAGATCTATTCAGTCACGCTTACTCCCAGGAAAAATGTTCTTAGGGTGGTACTGTTCATTGCATTGGATATATTCACACAGACACATCATCCCATTGTCACAAAATCTGTTACTTTTTAGCCACCTGAAGCAGGTCTCCAGAGACGTGGCCTATAAGTAGCTGAATAAATAAATAAATGGCAACTTACCACCTTTTCCAAGGTGAGGAGTCAAACTCACAATATATGCTTTCAGACCACAACAAAAAACCCCACCCTGATTATTTTGGCTAACACTATCCAAACATTAGCCTGGTTGAGTGCTTATTATGCTGGGGAAACTTCACTCCCCCCCCCCCAGCTGCCAATACACATGTATATACACACTACTTTTCAACTAGAGCACTTGCTGCCATTTGAATAACCCTCTCCCTGCTTCCAAAGTGCTCTGGAATTACAGCTCTCCTGTCTGTCTCTTTCCTTGTTAGAGACAGCCTCCTGCTACTGACACCACTAGGCCATGGAACCTCACAGTGAGTCCAAACTGATACAGATTTGGAAGGAACTGGATGCAAAGGTAAAGAGAGGAAAACTGTGTCACTTATTTTCAGGGGTCATTTCCTGCGGGAGTGCACAGGAGCAGAGCTCCGGCACTAAGGAGCCCAGGAGGCGGGCACATGCAACAAGCCCCACCCCCTGCTTCCCGCAGCCCTCAGTCAGGCCATGAGGAGCAAGAAGCAGCCAGGTAAGTTGCAGAGCCCCCCCCCTGCCTTCAGGTACAAACTCTTCCTCCTCTGTGAGGACAGATCTGCACATTCCCCCTCTCCAATAGCTAGCAATCAAAAACAGTCTAGTGGAGCCTGAGCGGTGGGTGTTGCCTTCTGACACACTTCCCGTGATGTCAGGGAGTGTGGCATATGCAGGTAAGTTATGCCAATAAGTTTTGCTAATGAACTCCTGTACCTCTTTTTCTACGAAATGACTTATTTTGTTCATGAAAAACAGTGTGAACACAAACACTGAAGGGTGGGTGTAAGTCATGTCCATCTTACTATCCTTTAAAGGGAAAAAATAATAAGGGCTTTGATTGAAGCTGTGGTTGGACCTGCTATAGTTTCACATCCAGATACTCCATAGGAGAGGGGCTGCACTGTAGAAGAGGTAATGTTGGAAGGTTGCTGGAGGGAAGAAGTAATGGAGAGCAGTGCAGTCACACCTCCAAAGCAGGAGAGAGAAACAGTGCTGTGCTACACTTGCAATGACCGCTTGGGAAATTGCTTTAAAAACCCAACAATTTGAAAAGCTGATTTAATTCCATCGGCAATTTAAAAATCATCTCAGTTTTAAAGGGTGATATACAGTAAAAAAAGTGGGAATGGAGTTATTTGGGAGAAATGTCATAACGAAAATAGAATGAATGTCAAGGGGGGGGGGAGGCTAAAATGGAAGTAGCCAGAGTCTGCAGTTAGAATTCCTTTTATATGCTTTGCTGAAATTGACACCACCCTTATCGATTTGGCTTCAGTGATGCCCAGTCTAACAGAGTTTATGGAGTCACAAAGTGACTGATAGATATGAACCGAGTACTTACTGTAAAATCTAAATGATTCTTTAGTGTTGATTTGCAAATTAATATTCCTTTGTTTCATACTTATCAATTTGTTAATTTTTATTAGTTATTCTTATGGAATGCCAGCATAATATAGGCATAGTGAATAATTAACATTAATATAAGAACATAAGAGAAGCCAATGTTGTCAGGCCAATGGCCCATCCAGTCCAACACACTGTCACACAATGGTCAAAAATACCAGGTGCCATCATGAGGTCCAGCAGTGGGGCCAGGACACTAGAAGCCCTCCCACTGTTGCCCCCCCTCCAAACACCAAGAATACAGAGCATCCCTTGCCCCAGACTAAGAGTTCCTATCTATACCTTGTGGCTAACAGTCTCTAATGGACCTTTGTTCCATATGTTTATCCCGTTCCCTCTTGAAACCATCCATGCTTGTAGCCACCGCCACCTCCTGTGACAGTGAATTCCATGTGGTCTGATGGTCTCATTCTACTTCATTTCTCCTTTTCCTGGTTTAAGTTTTAAACAGACTTTGTGCTGTCTCATCCATTCATCACACATAATTTTCAAGGAAAAGGAAGCTTGAATGTGATAACCTTTCAAACTGCCTGCTAGCATAGGGGACAGAGAGATTAGATGGTATCAAAACATGGAACTTTTTCCACAGCAGAGGTAAGTTTACAAATATAGGCACCCTTCTGAACTGGGCTTTATGTGTTGCAGGAGTCTGAGTTTGTAGCAAAACCTTAAAAAAATTCTCTTTGTTTGTGTGAGGGGTTTCTTTTGAAGGGAAGTATTATCATCTACTGATGCTTCTCAAATACTTGTTGTTTCTTGTTGTGACATGTGGAATGCATTTTAATCTATTGTATTACATTTATTAATAAAAATGAACAAAAAGCAGACCATATAACAGGATTGTCAAAAGTACATACACTTTTTTTAAAAAAATTTTTTTATTAGATATAATTTGTAATGATGGCAAAATCTTATCTTTGACTGCCACTAACTCATTCTGGACATACAGGTTTTTTTACTAGCTACAGAACAGCACAGAATAAGATGTGCTTAAGCCTATTAAATCACTGGCTCTGGTCCAGTCACATATGTCCCATTGAAATTAATTATGTTAGTCATGATTAACTTAAGTACTGTTAATTTCAGGGGACTTTTCTGGATTGGGACCAATGGGTTAAAGTGTATCCTAGCTCTGTGTTACAGCAGCTACCTCCAGCATAATATATAAGGATGATATACTATCAGCAATAGCTATCTTCTATGATAGCATATATCCTGATATTACACATTGGAGAGAAATCATTACATATGTCATCAGTGTGGAACTTGTTATGTGAGCCTCAGGACCCCATGCTATTCAATCTGTATGTAAAACCCTTAGGAGAAATCGTTTGTGGATTTGGAACAGGCTGTCATCAATATGCTGGTAACGCATAGCTCTATGTTTTAAAAAAAATCCAGATTACCTGATGATGCTGTAAAGGAGCTGAACCAGTGCCTTACTCCTGTGGTTAGATGGCTAAAAGTAAACAAAGAGAAACTGACAAAACAGAGGTAATGCTGGTTGGGAAGGCTGAGGTCTTGAGGGGCATTGTGCTCCCCCGCCTTTGATGGGACCCAGCTGATGCTCACTGACTCGCTTAAGAACCTAGGGGTTTTAACTGGATCCAGCACTATTACTGGAAAAGCAAGTTAATGCAATG